TAGCGGCATGAGAAGATGGTGCCGTTTCTTAGTTAGCTTCCATTTGGAATTGATCAGCTTCTAAACTGAGCTTAGCCAGCAGGTGACTATATGGAGAGAAAGAACAGAAGTAGAAGTAGACCTGTCTGAGAAATGGGAGAGCGCAGGTCTGCTGCACTGGGAAAATAGTCATAGTATTTTCTGTATGATTTGTATGTACGTGTACACGCTGTGTGCATGTGGGCATGCAGGTGTGTGTGCTCGTGTGCACAGCCGTCATTCCTCAGAAAACACAGTGGATGGCACCTGAGTCATGGCCTCTCACTACCCTAGGACTTGGCAAGTACACTAGCTAGCCCGGGCCTGGGGTCCACCTGCCTCCTCACCCCGAGGCTGGGACTACAGTTGTGTGTTACCACATCTGGCTTTTAAAAATGTTAAGACTGAACTCAGGTGCTTGTGTTTAAAAACTATCATCCCAACTCTCTGTGAAACTTTATTATTCTAGTAATGTTACTGAGCGACATTTATTGTCAGATGAGTCCTTAAGAACTGAATTTTAAAAACTTTAAAAATTAGCAATGGTTTCGTTTGTTTGTTTGTTTTTTATTTTTTGTTTTGTTTTGTTTTTCAAGACAGGGTTTCTCTGTGTAGCCCTGGCTGTCCTGGAACTCACTTTGTAAACCAGGCTGGCCTCGAACTCAGAAATCCGCCTGTCCCTGCCTCCCAAGTGCTGGGATTAAAGGCGTGTGCCACCACTGCCCGGCTTAGCAATGGTTTTTTTATAATTTATTTTAGAGCTTTGAACAATGAACACTCTACTCATTTAGTGTATGACTAGACTGTGGTCCTCACTAAGAAAAGGGACAGTGGCTTAAACATGTGGCTTAAATAACATACAGTATTTAATTTTTTCATGTACTGTGTACGGGGAATCCTGTTGAAGGTACTCATGGGTGTTGACCTTGTTGACAGGGACCTAGGCTCCGTATCATTTTCTCTCTTGCTGTCCTTGGCTGTGATTTGGCTGCTTTAGATACAACATGCTTGCAGTGCTTCTAAGTGTCCTGTCTGAATTCAATGGACCAGTAAAACAAAACAAGACCTAAGCTTCCTTGATGCGTTCTTTACCTTTAACTGGGAAGAGAGGCTCTTCATGGCTGCTGACTGCATGCCACCAGCCACAGTGAGGCCTCATACACTCCACTTTGATTGATGTTTGTTTCACTGGGCAGACAGGAAAGGATCACTTACATCTTTTGCTTTGTATACAAATGGTTCCTCAGTAGCTCACGCTGAGGAATGCAACCATCACACCAGATCACGCATCAGCATGTAGAATCTGAGCATCCTGTGTTGGTTGTATTTGGTAAGATTTTGTATGCTGTTAGGAAGGCATGCTAAAATAAGTGTGGTAAAGTCAAGGCGGATATTAGGATACTTGGTTTACTCTTCCGTCTTTTTCTCTGGCAGCCTAAAGGTGTGAGTGAAGAAGACATAAAAACTGTGTTCTCGTCTTGGCTACAGCAGTCCACTACCACCATGCTTCCTTTGGTAATACCAAAGGAAGAGTGTATTAAGCTGGAAATTAAAGATGGTAGGTAAAAGTGTGATTTTGTTTCTCCTATGAAACAGTTGTCACATCGAAACATTCTTAAGAATTGTTTTTCCAATTTGTGTCACATGTAAACAGTGAAACATAACAGTGTTCTCTGTATTAAAGAATGTCTTTAATTTAAATAAGTTTGATATTTCAAATCAAATTATTTCCTCTCGGTTTCAGTTCTAACTCTTTACTTTCTTCTTAATAGGGTTGAAAGAGTTCTCTCTGAGTGTAGTTCATTCTCAGGAAAAAGAAAAGGATCAAGAAAAAACTGTTTTTGTGTTGAGTCCCATTCTGCTGCAGAAGATCTCAGTACAAGTAATTATATACTATTGATGTGTAATGAAGCCGTGCTTGTTATCTGCGACTAGTAAAGTCTGAGTTTCTGTCTGGAAGTGTACATCCAGAAGTAGATTAGAAAGCACATGAGAAGAGTAAGGAATAGCTTGATTTTAACTATCTTACTCTGTAATTTATCTAAACAAATTACTGATTTATCCTAAATGTAAACAGCAGTTAAGCATGATAAAGTTCCAGATTTTCTGTCGCTTATATAATCTGGTAAACGGGTCACGATCTAAACTTCTGTGTATTAAACAAATGGAGATTTAGTTTTAGAAGACTGGGTTTTTTTTAAGTTCTTACTTTGGGGCCAGTGATATGGCTTGGTGGGTAAATGTGTTTGCCGTACCAGCCTGGTAACCTGAGTTCCATTCCTGGAAGCCATGTAAAAGCTGCAAGGAGAGAGCCAACACTACCAAGGTTGTCCTCTGACCTCCACATGTGCACATGGGACACCTCTTCATTGTAGTGTGTGTACACACACACCCCAAAGTTGTTCTCTGACTTCCACGTGTACGTAAGCCACCTCTGCATTGAAATTCGCAACACACACACACACACACACACACACACACACACACACACGAATCTTCTGACCCTCATGTGCACTGCAGCCCCTGATCCACCTTCTTGTTGCAGTGCAATACTGTAAATGTTTTTAATTCATATTTTCACATGCCTGTTCGCTATACTATTTTGACAGCTGTTAACTTCTCTGCTCACATTGCTTTTCTTGCAGAGGTGTCTTAGTGCCCCTGTTTTTAGAATATTGTTTTCCTTCTGCTTGCTGCAGTGGGATGGAAGCTGCACCCGTTGTTTGCAAGTTGAGTGGTTAGGATCTAGACACTGTTTCCTTATCTCTGAGATGTGATTGAGGGGCTGCCCTTCAGAAAAGGGGCAAATGTAAGGGGTGTGGGGAGAACACTTATGACATAGATGGAGGAAATACACACCTGTGGTGTGTCATCAACAGCTTCAGTCTCTGTGCTGTGAACGTCTGTGTTCCATGCATGAGGACCTGGGCAACAGAGTATCTCAGGCATGTTCTCGGTGCTCAGCATCTCCTTTCTCTGTTAGCAAAGTTGGTGATTCTTTTTTTCTGGGACTCAGGAATCAAACAAAAGACATAACCTTGAAATGTAAAACTGGCTTTTCCTTACTGTAGGTCCTTCTAGAGCCCGTGATAAGAGAAGAACACAGTGTGGAAATTGACTTTCTTCTTCCCTCTTTAACGCTGAGCTCTTTGGGGTAAGAGGTTATGGTCAAATGAGTGTGTTTACAGACTGCTTTGGATGCTCTCTGCAGCTCATGTACAGTGTGTTAAGTGGCCAGGAACGCCAAAGATGAGGAGGTAACTGTCGAGGATAGCTTCTGTTCTTACACACAGGTTGGAAGCTGACCTTGCCTCCTTAGGTAGGTGGTTTTATTAGAGATTCTCTCCTTGGAGAATTGACTTTTGAGACGAAAGCTAGCTGGAAATCACCAGATTGTACTTGACCAAAACAGTAGTGATTGAAACCAATAAAAGCATCTTAATAGCTAAGTCTAAAACACTGGTTCAGTGGTGGAAAATATTTCAAATTAAGTTATTCCTTCACTATTTTATTGTAATAATTAGCAACTTTTTGGTATTTTTTTCATCTTTTCAGAAAAACGAATCTGAAAAGGAAGCCCTCTTAGTTTCTTTATTTGCGCTATGAGAGGCAGCCACAGCAGCATTTGCTTGGTAGTGTGTGAGCTTATACTGGAGGCGAGAGCTTTGGTGAAAGAATTAACCCTCTAGAGGTGCAATGGTGTGCACTAGTAGGAAGTAAGCTCTCTTTGGATTCCACTTCAGGAGTTTTTGTTCCCTTTCTGTTTTCATGAATAAAATCATGGTAGAAATCAAGAAAGAGTATACATTCAAAGTATGTCTAAGACAGAGTGAAGCTAGGTTTCAAAGGGAAATTTCAGAGGAGCCGAGTCTTTGATTACCCCAGTAAGCACTCCCAAAGCAGCTGTTTGCAACAGTATTGATTACCAAACTGAAAGAGCCGTGAGGATGGGAGCGTTGAGATGTGCTAACAGACCCCACAAGCAACTGTTAGAACAGACTTTTCAGCATTGCAGTGTCTGAAAGCTGGACATCAGAGCCAGTCTTCCACCATTAGCCTAAGTAAAGGAAGCTTCTAAGACTTTACTCCTACAACATCGCTAACTAGCCCAGGAAGGAAGGCTTCAGTCTTTTATAGCTAGGTTTTATTTGCTACGGTCTTTTGTCACATTAGAATTTATGTGTTTTGCAGTGGAGTGAGTTCCTTAGGTATATCCGCCATGGAACACATCACTCACAGTCTTCTGGGACGCCCTTTGTCTCGGCAGCTGATGTCCCTGGTCGCAGGACTTAGGAATGGGGCACTTTTGATCACTGGAGGAAAGGTATCGGTTAAAATATGTTCCTTCTTACTAGCTAGTAGCATTTCATGCTTCTCTTTTGCTTTTGTTTATGTATTTTATAGAACTTTTAATAGGTGTGTGCTTGTTAGGTATTAGGGAAGTAATCATGAATTATATACCCTCTTGTCTTAGTTAGGGTTCTAGTGCTGTGAAGACACACCCTGACCGCAGCAACTCTTATAAAGAAAAACATTTCATTGGGGCTGGCTTACAGTTTCAGAGGTTTAGTCCATTATTATGATGCAGAGCATGGCAGGATGCAGGTAGACACGGTGCTGGAGAAGGAGCTGAGAATTCTACAGCATGACCTGAAACCAGCAGGAGACTGTGAGCCACTCTGGGCATAAGCTTGAGGATAGCAGACCTAAAATCCCACCCACCCATCCCCAGTGGCCAACAAAGCCATGCCTCCTAATAGTTCCACGCCCTAAGGACCAAGCATTCAAACACATTAGTCTGTGGGGGCCATTCCTATTCACACCAGCACACCTCTCAATTCCTTTTCTGTGTAGATCGATAAGATTATATAATTTTTAGTGGTTAGCCTACTGATGAGGTTGTTGATAGTATTGGTATATTTTTAAAAATAAATCCCACTTGGTTGTGGTTACTTGTACTTACTAGCATTCTGTTTGCATTTATGAGAGACACTATTCTGCAGCTTCTGCTGCTGCCCTGTCTTGTCTAGTTTTACAGTCAGTGTGATGATGTGACCCAGGGAGTGGCACTCTCAGGAGGTGTGGCTTTGTTGGAGTAGGTGTGTCACTGTGAATGTGGGCTTTAATGCCCTGGTCCTAGCTGCCTGGAAGCCAGTCTTCTGTTTGCCTTCGGATGTAATAAGATGTAGGACTCTCAGCTCCTCCTGCACCGTGCCTGCCTGGATGCTGCCACGTTCCTGCCTTGATGATAATGGCCTGAATCTCTGAACCTGTAAGCCATTCCCAATTAAATGTTCTTATAATAGTTGCCTTGGTCATGGTGTCTGTTCACAGCAGTGAAACCCTAGTTAAGACAGTCAGTGTATTACTTGCTCATGAAATGAGCTGTCAAGTGTCCCCTCATTTTTGTAGGGAAGAGACTATTAGGTTGGCATTCATTCATTCTTTAAATGCTTTGTAAAACCTGCAGCAAACCCATCCAAGCCTGGAGAGTCCTTAATTCAATAGCTTTTGAATGATCCACTCCATGTTCTGAATGGTTACAGGGCTGTTTGATAGTCTGCTTCATCTTGATTGACGAGCAGTTGTTGGTTTTTAAAGACTTGGTCCAGTTCATCTATACAATGTCAAATTTATGAGCATAAAGTTATTTTCTCTTATTTTCCTTTAGTTCCAGATTCCTGCAGGATCTGTTGTGCTACCCTGTTTCCTGACACTGGAGATGTGTCTTCTCCTTCTAACTTTATTTTCTTGGTTGAGATCCCTGACCTCTTAAAGAGGCTTACTGTCTTCCTCTCTACCAGTGCTGTGTTATTTCCTGTGCCCAAAGGCCCCTAATGGTGTTTTAGTCTTTGAAGTCCATCAAATTTAAATGTGGTAATTCTCTATAACATCTATATATGATCTAATTCTGTATAATATCTCTCTCTATAATAACTCTTTATAATACCTAATTCTGTAAAAGATAATGATGATAGTATGTATTTGTTGAGTGCCTCCGAAGTTTAGCTTTCTCATATCAAATGTGGTGGGTTTTGCTAGTAATCAGGACAATGTATGTGAACTGATACAATGCTGTTAGCCTCCAGACAAGTGACAGCCAGCACAGAGGAAGCTGATAGTGAAAAACTAGAAACCTACCCAGTGTGGTCGTGCTAGAGGACACTGGAGAGATGGGAGCAAGAATTGAAACGTGCTACCTTCTGATGTCATGGTGCTCCTTCTTTCTGAAAGCACACTGACGGCCCACTAAGCGGATCTGTGTGGATGTTCATTCTGACCTGGTGATGGCTAAAATCAGAAGGAACACAAATACAAAGCACAGGGAAATAACGTGTTAAACAGCTTAAGTAATAGCAGGAAATTCTAAAACTCCATTGATATTTTAGTTCTGTTTGTATACATTTGTAAGGAATGCTTAGAAGGATGAAGACTCTTGATGTAGGGTAGAGTTTTCACCTGAGGTCTTTCACCCTTCTTTACTAAGTATACTTGTTTTTAATCTTTACAAAATACTTTAGAATGAGAAAAAAAAACAACTTGTATTTGAAAAAAAAAAAGCTCATTGACTGTAAGCCAGTGTCGAGTCTGTCGTTCTTATATCAGTGTAGACGGTCTGGCAGCTGAATTGTCGCTCAAGGGCAGTGCTGTGTTCCTGTAATCCCAGCCTCTCCAAAGGCTGAGGCAGGGCATCTTAGGTTCAAGGCCAGACTGGCCAACATGATAAGACCTAGTCTGGTAAAACACAGCATATAATCATCTCTGTGACCAGAAAAAAAGTGCCTGAGGGTGGTACTCCTCATGAATTGGTAGCCACAGTGATGGCCATAAATCATTAAGAAAGTGGTAAATAAAAATTATCTAGTACAAGGTAATAGGGACATTAATCACTGACAACGACGGGGGACCGGAGCCACTACACGGTCCCCTTCAATCACTGCAGGTCAGGCCTCTATCCCCGCCATTGCAATATCAGAATCGACACAGCCCTTCTGTACTTAGAGAAGGGAGGAGATGTCAGGGGCAGCCCTGCTTACACACTGAAGGCCTAAAATCAGCCATAGGCCTAAAATCAGCCATAGGCCTGTCATACATGTATACTAACATCAAGTCTTGGGTCTCTGTGGAAAAACACTGAAACAGATGGCTATAAGCTAATGTAAACAGGCAGCTTTTGTGGAAATTTATAAGCCTGAGTAGTCATAGACCTTGTAAATAGGTAGCCTTGCCAGACAATACCAACTTAGATAAGGACAAGTGAGTCATAGGCAGAGTCATAGCGACCTGTCCCCTGAACCCTTACCCAGCCGATACCCTGTGCTGAAAGAAATCTGTATTCCCCCTGAACACCCACGCTCCGTGTCATCCCCTTCCCCACATCCTGTCTTTCTGTGTTTATAACCCCTGTGTGAATGAGTATAAATTACAATTTAAAAATAAATAAATAAGTAAATAAATAAATAAAAATATCTAGTACAAGGTAATAGGGATATTAATCTACTTTTCTCATTAAAATAATTGAAATTAAATAGTTTATTTATTTAAAAATTATTTTATTTCTATATTAATCCTGTCTTGTACCAATAAAGTATTATTTTCACAGGATTCTATTTAAATGCTATCCATAGTATTAACTAGCAAGTGTAGAAACGAGTTTACTTTTTATCTGTGCATATCAAGAACCTTATTTTAGTAGCACAGAATCCCACATTGCAACTGGCCTGGTGTCCACTTCTCAGTCAGTGAGGCTGAATCTCGGTGGCTGCGGCAGTGGCAGAGCTGCCTCTGTAACGGAGTCTACTGAGTGTTCTGAGGACGTGATTGTCTTCCAGGGAAGCGGGAAGTCAACGTTAGCTAAAGCCATCTGTAAGGAAGCACATGACACTCTGGACGCCCGTGTGGAGGTAGTCGACTGCAAAGCTTTACGAGGTAGGGAAGAATCCACACAGATCCCCCTTGTAGACAGGAATGTATGGTTGTGCTACTAATAGATACAGTTATGTAGTTTTTAAACTTTTATTTTTGTCTTTTAGTTATTGAGAGTCCTTAGAAGTGTGGAGGCTGGGCTTGCGGCACAAGTCTTTAATGCCAGCACTTGCAGAGCAGAGGCAGGTGGATCTCTGGGAGTCTGAGGCCTGATGGAAAGCGCAAGTTTCAGGACAGCCAAGCTACATAGGGAGACCCTGTCTCAAAAAACCAAAAAAAGAAAATCCGTAGAAACTTGAAGGCTTTATATTTCTGATGTTTGTGATAAAATCCATCGAAGTCTGTTTGACAGTCTGATGGAAGCCATTTGTTTAAAGTGAAAGCTCTGTAGAAACACCACATATACTGCTCCAAGTGTTTAGGGCATGCTGCATTTGAATCTAGGCTCCATCTTGGAATTGCTGTAGGAAACTGCTAGAACTCATG